TTTTTTTTTTTTTTTTTTTTTTTTTTTTTTTTTTTTTTTTTTTCAGGCGAAGACTAGATCTCCTCAGTCTACTCTTAGTGGGTTTGGGAGTTGGTCGGCTTGGAGTTCGGTGTCCAGCGACGGCAGCCCAAACGGGCCATCTCAGGCGCCGTCGCCGCCGGTAACCCCTTTTGGCAGCGATGACAACACTTGGGATCTTATCTATGCTGCTGCGAAACAAGTTGCTAGGCTCAAAGTGAACAATAGCAGAGATGGGGTTATTGGTCCTTCTCAAAGTTCGTCAAATCTTGTTTCTTCTGTCAAAGACGTTGGATTTTATTCCCACGCTCCGCAGGTGAAGTTCATTAGCTTCGGTTTTTCACTCCCATGTTCTCTGTTTTGCTGTGTTTTTTGATCTGAAGTTGTTCGACTCTGTTTTTTGTTTCCTCTGTTTCAGTTTGGAACAGAGCTTCCGATTCGTAAACCGGAGAGCAGTGTCAACTGGGGAAGACAAGTGAAGGCTGAGAATCAGCGGATCCATTGCGGAGGCGGAGATTTTCATCATAAAAATGGGAGAATTGTTGTTCGTCCTGTAGATTTTTCTCAATCCACATGGTCATCTATGCAACGCAATCACCAAAGAAACCCTTCTCAGTCGTGTGCTCCAGCCGTGCCCTCCACCTTCCATGGAGGCGGATCTGCCCCCAAAAAGGAATGCGCCGGAACGGGTGTCTTCTTGCCTCGTCGATACGACAACAACCCACCACAACCTCGCAAAAGAGCAGGTACTTTTAACAAATTGCAAACTTGGGTTCCTCAAATTTGAACATGAATTTTAATATTTGCTCTGTTCCTTCAGATTATGGCTCGATTGCTATGTTACCAAGGAGAAACGTACAGGACATGACCCGATCTGTTCCCCAAATGACGTCAAATCGCCGGAGCCAGGGTGAGCTCGTTGAAACGATTCACCAATCTGGAGATCTGTTAAATAGTAGTTTCCTAATAAGCTTTTAATTTTGGTTTCGCAGAAGCTATAATGGGTCAAAGAAACGCCATTTTCGCAGAGCAGAGGCTAAGCTATTCCCGGCCGGCTGAGAGAGGCAAAAGCTATGAGTTTCTTCTTCCTCAGGAGTGGACATACTGAATTAACACTAATGAAATCTGAATGTAGTTCAAGTGTTTTTTTAGATTAGTGAACTATAAAGAAATGAATTAAGGGTTGTAATTTAAGAAGGGAAAAGGGGATTGTTTGCAGGACTTCAGTTACCAGTTAGTTTTTTATAGATGAAGGACCGAGTATGCAGTGTTCATCATTCTTCAGACAGCGCGGAAAGAGAAAAGGATATTTATTGAACAATGGGGTTTTAGGAAACGAGTGAAAGAGAGATTGTAATAATTTTTGTGGGTTTCTTAATTGAAATACATAGCTATAGCTATTAACCCTTCTAAGACTAATAAATTATTTGTTGATTTATCATTAGAAGCAGAGTTTATTCCACTGAATTTTCAATTGTATGAACCTTAAACTCGAACATAATATATTCTTGACCAAGAGGTCGAAGATTCGGGCCTCCTCATCTCCATTTGCATAATCCATCAGATAAAACATATATTACTTTCAACAAGGTCAAAAGTTCCAACATTCTATAACGTTAAAAGTGCAATCTTGATCATCACAATTCTTGAATTCCAAAAGAAAAAAGAACCATGAATTCCAAAAGAAAAAAGAACCATATCATTTTCACATCAGATATTCAAGGAAGACTACATTACAAATTAAAGTCGAACACTATTCTAAAGATAAGGACTAATAAAGATACACTCGTTTGTTAATCTAGGCATAGTTTAGTGGTTAATGAGGCATAAACCGATGAGCCTCACGACTAATCTCAATGATACTAACTTCAAGTGAGTGTTCGAGATAATTTGTGCATACTTCTATCAATCTTAGATAATTGCCTAAGTTGCTAAGAAACTTGCAGAATATTAAAGGTTAGGTAGGTGGTCATGCCCATACCATCTGTCCATGCCAACCGTATGTTTTATGAATAGTTTTTTGTCGGAGAAATGGGACTGTCCTCAGTACTTAAACAGGAATGGCATCCATTTCAATCTGGATCTAGGATGTTGGTTCAAATTTCATGGAATGGATCTAAACTGATAAACAATTATAAAGTAAAGCATTACAAGAACATCAAAATCTAGTTTATATAATTAAAGAGTGTACCAAATCTTCTGCTGCTGCCCTTCTTAAAGGCTATTCACTCTACTTGGTGTAATTCAACCATAAAATCTACTCTTCACGACCAAAAGTATGATATTATGTCATCTATTTAGTTAGTTGGGATTGTTCAAATCTATCTTACCTAACTATACTCACCCCACTTTTTTTTTTTTTTTTCCATGATCCTAGCAGTGATTTGACCAAAAGCTTGTCTACAATTGTTGCTTCAGAATGAAGATTTAAAGCTTGATGTGAAATTTACTCAACCTTTCACTATACCTTTTCTACTGTTTCCATACGTAGGCAAAAGCAAAAGATGTGCAAATCTTATCTGATTTGACAAACGGGTAGTTCATCCCCATAAAATCTACTTGATTCTGACTCCATTTGCTACTTAGGTCGAATGTCAGTTGGGGAAGAGAATGAAACATTCTTTATAAGGGTGTAGAAACATCTCCCTAGCAGACGCGTTTTTGAAAACCTCGAGGGGAAACTCAAAGAAGACAGTATTTGCTAACAATGGGCTTAAGCTGTTCCAAATGGAATTAGAGCCAGACACCGGGCGAGGTGCCAGCGAGGAGGCTGAGCCCTAAAGGGAGTGGACATGAGGCGATGTGCCAGCAAGGACGCTGAGCCCCAAAGAGGGGTGGATTGGGGGGTCTCACATCGATTGGAGAAGGAAACGAGTGTCAACGAGAACACTAGGCCCCAAAGAGGGGTGGATTGGGGGGTCCCACATCGATTGGAGAAGGAAACGAGTGCCAACGAGGACGCTGGGCCCTGTAGGGAGGTGAATTGTGAGATCCCACATCGGTTGGGGAGGAGAACGAAGCATTCTTTATAAGGGTGTGGAAACCTCTCCCTAATAGATGTGTTTTAAAAACCTTGAGAGGAAACCCGAAAGAGAAAGTCCAAAGAGAACAATATCTGCTAGCGGTGGGCTTTGGCTCTTACAATACCTCAAGCTAAAAGAGAAGCATAGTTCTAGAAAACAAACTTGCTCCAAACATGATAGATAAATTCCTTGATTAACATATACACTACCTTTTTCATATCATATTAATATATTACAGTGTTTGCATTATCTCTGTTACCAGACTGCAAATAGAACGCATATAATTAACGGAAATTGGTAGAGAAATACCTTGTGAGCTAATCCATGTTGAAGTTCCAGGAGTCTCTGCCCTTCAATTCTTTTCTTTCAGTTTGGTTCATTTATCATCTTCATCCCATCCATCTCTTCTCACTCTAACCCTCTCACCCTTGAAATGTATGTATTTCCATTTGCAGCCATATCTTTTATACACCATTTTCCCGTTTTCTTCTTGACCTAGTTTTCGAAAGGCGTGGGCTACTCTTCTAACTGTGTCTTCATCTGGCCTTACTCCCAACTCCTCCATGTCTGCAAATATCTGTACCAAGAGATGGAAAAAATTGAAGCAGGTCATTGATATGGTATGAAGAGAAGATTGCATAGGGTGGTACAAGCGAGACGTGAGAGTCCCCATTCCCAATACCTCAATAATCTTATCTTGCAAGTCATGATGGTCATATAAAGAGATCATCCTAGAAAACAGTCGCTTAGAGATGGAACGAGTATGTGCATGCAAAATCATGTTCCATAAAGATTCGGCTTCATCCACCCTCTTGTCCATATCAAATGCCAGAAGAAGAGTGTCATAGGTACCCATTGTGGCACCTTGACCCTTGCTTAGCATCCACTTTGCCACCTGAGTAATAAGAAGCATTGATTGTATACAGAAACCTCTTCATAAATATTTATAACTCAAACTTTACAACGGAAAAGGAAGAACTTTAAGCAACCAACATAGGCAAAAGACAACAGATTTTTTTCTTCCAATTTTTCTTGTTAATCTGAAATAATCTTTTTTTAAGTTCGAACCTTCCCTAATCGAAGGGTTCCAACATCAACCCCTCCACCCATTCAAACCAGTGAGAACCCCCACTCAGGTCACGAGCCCATGTTACCGAACTAGGCTAATCAGAGATGATCCTTTCACATGCCAATCTCACAAGTAACTTGCAAGTCCAACACTGAGGCTTCCAATGCCAGAAGTAGTTCGGTGTTATATTTCGACAAACATTTTTCTCAAAGATAAGAACTCATTGCTGTTTCATCATTCCCAATTATGGAACCAACAACCATGAGTTCTCTGTCCATAAAGCTAAATCTAAAACAGGAATAATAAAATTTGATGTATCAACCACATCCGAAGTGTTGTCTTGTTTCTTGAGTCATATTTTAAGCACAAGGAAGTCTAAATGACCAAGTTTCAAGATCAAACTTCAATATAAAAACTGAACAAACCACAACTTATCAAATAAGTGCAAAACTAACAATCATGTTGGACACATATCGAACACTTGTTAGCACAATAGATATGAGCTAGATGTCACAACCCTGTGACACTAGACACTAATTGTACAAAAACAATATAAGTCCAACATTTTGTAAGACAAATAATTATTAAGTATATTAAATACATACATAAAAATATAGGACAATGAGTAAGAGTATACTTATTCATACTTGAATGACACGCTTCCATTGACTTCTCTTCCTCAGTATTCTTAAAGCTTTAGAAGCTGCAATCAATGGAAACTCCGTCTCCCAAGCTATCCACTTATTCAATTCTCCATATACAGCTTCTTTCTCATTGGGGCATTGGGAGACCTACAAGATGTTAAATATTCCCATTGTTTCCTCTCAATATTAGAAAGGCGCTAAGAGAGAAGATTCAACGAAATGCAGCTTACAATTCTAACAAGATTCAGAGCTTTTTGGCCAGAGCCAGCAGAATCTCTTTTCTTCCATAAATGGTGGGCCTCCTTCCCAACCTTCTTCTTAACAATACGTCTATATTTAACCAAAGCAACATCAGAATCAAAGTTCTGGGGTTGAAAGCAAAATCAGAAAGCAATATTAGAGAAGAAAAACAAGAACACCTCTCAGCTGTGGTGGAACCTGTAAGCGACTGCGCAGCTTGCTTGTGGACACACTTGACACTGGCAGCTCTAAATGCCAATTTGTTGTAATTGTAAATGCAAACTTTCTACAAGGGAAAGGGGAAAATTATGGGATTAAACACTTAGATCTTGTTGAAACGAAATTGGCGAAGTTGGAAGTTTCCTGCTTACCTTCGGCACGAGGGCATCGAACCCAGTTGAGCTTCCACGGTAAGCAAGCATCAGATTTTTCAAATTTCAGCGCTTAATGTATTGGGTATTAAGTATAATAAAGAAATTGAGCTGTGGCCGAAGGGGTTGATTCATTCAGGATAAAGAAGGGCTCTACGGCTGAGAACATATGCGAAACAACTACAGGAATTAAACAAAGCGCACCGAAGCTGGAGACATACAAAAACTCTACCTGCACAAGCTTTGGATGATGATCGTTCTTTCGGGAACGAACGAAACAGAAAATTGGAGCTAGCGGCTAGCGCCTTATCTTAGAGACAACCCAGGGAGAATTGTGCTGATTTAATTGAAGAAGGACCAAGAATTTTCAATTGTTTTGGGCCTCGATTTCAATGTCCTGCCCATGTATTTGTCAATCTCCGGGCTCAAAATATGTAGGCCTAAACTTCAAATAGTCAAAGTTCATGCTCTTCATGATCAACATTTAAATATTTCATTTCTATTTTCTTTTTTAATTCTAGTAATATTATTCGCTTTAGTCCATTATCTATAGGTATCAATCTCACAGTTTTAAAACGAGCCTATTATGGAGAGGGGGTCTAACCCTTTTTCGATCGGTGCCTAGTATCATCTAATCACTGGCTCTAATACCGAATGTAATGGTCCAAAAACCACTGCCAACAAATATTATCTGCTTTGCCCCTCGACCTTATAGTTTTAAACACATGTCTGTTAAGGAGAGGAAAACAAAACCGTAAACATTTCCACTCTCTTAAAAAATCACTCTCCAAACTAAAATAATAATAATATTAATAGTTAGCTCAAGATCGTAGTAATGTTTATAATATTAATTAGAAACTTTATTTGATAAAAGTAATAATAATCCGTTACATCAAACATAATTATTTAGGAATGTTTATATTTAGCTCATGAATTTGTCTACAAAATTATGACTTTCTATAATTGTATGATATTGTTACGGTCTTTTTTAAAAAGCTTTATATACCAATTTTTCTAATTTATAGACAAAATAATGAACGTAAAAAACTGCGGAACAGAAAATATAACTCTACTAATTTTCAGTGTTGGAGCAGTTG